TAACGAGGACCAGGAGAGAATCTAATAGTAGCACCAGATATGAAAGTAGTGGTAGCGAAAGCGTCAGGTGCGTCAATTTTATTTTTACAAAATGAATTCTTTTTTAATTTCTTTGCAAGAAATCATGTTTGCGTGTATTGTTCCTTTTAATTTTTCAAGAAAGATATTCAATCCGTTTTAAATCAAAATTTTATTAAATTTATATTAATATTTAATTAATTAAATTATGTTAAATTATATTAAAATTATATTAAATTTGGAATATAAAATTATTCTCTTAAAATAAAAAAAATCTTTAAAATCAGACGTTGCAATGTTATTTTATGTTACAGATTAAGCGAGACCGGTTTGCACGGATATGCAGAACTGGCCAGGAAAGTGAAGTTCTTCGGAGGAAACAGCAGTGGCACGATTTCGTCAACGATTGGCGGTGACGAAGTTGTGCAACGTGATAGTGCAACCAGTGCAGGGGAGGATGAAATCAATGAAGATGGTCACGATAGAGCAGGCCCAGTTCCTTCTCAGGGAAGGACAATGCTGCGACGAAGGAGGCAGTTCGATGCTCAAGGTAATTACAATAATAATTATAAAATTATTAAAGTACATGTATACTTCTTCTATTTAAAATTAACAGTAATCTTGATACATAGCTGTTAACATTAAACATACATTTTTTTTTAAATTATTAAAATATATGTATAACTTTTCTATTTGAAATTATAATAGCAATCTTGATACACGTACGAACATTAAACATATATTTATTTAAATTACATATAGAGATAAAGAAAGTTAAAACATTTTTTAGAATTGTTTATAATACTTCTTGTTAATTATTTCAAATCTAATGTCTGTTGTTATTAATTGGAAAAAATTTTAATTTTGTTTGTTTTCTCCAAGTTATTTGTATTTTCAAAAGCCGTAGCCGTACTTAATAATAACGAACGATGCAATTATCGTATAATAATTATTAAGTATCGTTTCGCTTTCGCGATCGCCTGCCTGTATATTGACTACCGATAGTTGCCGTAATTATCCAATCGCGTGTTCGCATGATTCCTAATTAAATTCCAAATACGTGTTTTCATTCTCATTGCGACAATTGCTCGTAATCAATCACGAAAAGTTGCATGATTTTTCTTTGCTAATGAGTTAACAAGAAGCAAACTTTCTTTAATTCTTAAATTCATTATAAATCATATATAATAAATATATAGTAGAGATTGATTCTTATTAAAAATATTTTCATATTCGGTATGGAAATCAATTTCTTAATTAATTTCTCATTTAGTTAAAAAAACCTAATCTAAAAAACCCTTTCACTTATTAAGTTCATCGGCATCAAAATATTCTCTTTTATTCGTTTATGCTTTATATTTATTGTTTGTAGCGTTCCGTTTTATACAATTTATTTATCGTATATGATTTACTATATACTATGAATATATTTGCATGTATACATAAAGAAAGTCATACGGTTACTCGTAACAATAAGCTCATCGATTATCGAAACCCTTTCAAAAACTTCCTAGTGAAAAAGCAGCCAGTATTCTTCAAGAACGGACTCCGTACGGGACCATTGACATTCCGAAAGTTAAAAGACGCGTTTGAATCGTGAGATGATAAACTTGTTTCTGGCCGAATATTGAGTCCGAGTGGTAGTAAAATCGTATCTAATCTCTGAAATTTCAGTAATTACATACAGAAAGTAAGGAATACAATGGCTCATAAAATTACATCGTAGTTAACGCAGTATTAGATAAACTCGCTAGTGAAAAAGAAAATGATAACGAAAGAATAACGAAAGAAGAATAATCAATGAAAACGTCGAAGAAACGTCTCGATTGATTTTTATCGCTTTATCTTTAGAAAGATTTGCCAGTTGAATTTGTCTCGGGAAAAGTCGGCAGTTTTCGCTCGTCGTTAAAGCGATCTTTTTCCCTTTATTGTTTCCGATGAAATCTCCGTTTCACTTCCGATAAACATCGCGTCAAACGGGAACATTAAGAAAGCAATTATTCTTAATCTCGTATTTCGTCCGCCGCGAGAGATTCGATGGAATGTGAAAGGAATGCATTCGACGTTTAATAGTGCATAAAACGCTTGACGTGCATATTCCGAATCAACGTCGGTCTTCGTGATCCAAACACGCCCGCTGTTGCGATTTCGCGCGGTATCGAGGAACGATCATAAAATCCGGGTTGAGCGCGAATCGAGCATTTCAGCATTTTTTAATTCTCGCTTCGTCGTACAAGTGTACATTTTAGCAAACATGGAGCTGATAAAAGTAGTCCAACTATCATTGACGTTTTTATTATCAATGTATTTTCTTATTTTCTATACCGGAGTCGTCGTCATCTTATATTTAATATGGACGAGAAGCGATTAGTAGTATCAAAACGTGTGACAATGATGATTTTTCTTCTTTAAATTTTTATCGCGAAAAACTTTTTTTTTTTCGAGAGACAGGAAACATGAAAAAAAGGTATGCTTAAGTAATGTAAATAAATTTGTAGTTGATTGTTATTACAATAATTATTAGCACTTTAAATTTTTTATTTTGTTTTTTTTGTTTTAAATACATTAAGTTTCGCCGTTAAAGTTACATTCTTCAATCCGTAGCCTTTTCGCCTAATTCGTTCACTGTTATCTTCTTTGCATCGTTGCGCCTTAAATTTATAGCAGCTTATTATCGCCACGTTTCGAGCCTAGTTCGCTCGTGAATCTCAAGGTTCTTGTCCCAGATTCCGAATAAAACTCGTATCTACCCATCTTTACCGTCCATTCTTGCCCGAGTATGATCGTTTTGGCACGGAATCATCCGTACGTGGCGCGGCGGCGAGCGAGGCGGTGGGCAGCAGGTGAGGCGAAGCGAAGCGGAGCCCAGGGAAACAGCATAGGAATAATAGTATAACAACGTTCCCTGCTGGCACTCTATAGTCCGCTCACCTGCGACGCGAATATACGGGGTGTCGCGGAATCGCCATTCGACCACCAACAAATAACGAAACGCGCACGACCGTGCGTGACTCAACACATTAATCGTGTAATTATTTTGAGTTATAAAAATAAAGATTTCTATTTGGGATTTTAAGGATTTTTTTGATATATAATTTCTGACTGATAACAAAAATGAAAGAAAATAAACGATAGATATCTTAATCGATTTTTCTAAAGACCGTTCCGAACTGAAAGTTTAATATTCAGAATTTCTATGTTTTTATTTACGAAGTTCTCGGACTCGGACACAAGATACTCTTGTGTTTTAGTTTATTTTCAGGATATCTTCACCGTTTTTCAGTCAGGCGTTAGAATTCTTTTAGTCAGGGAAGGGTTGCACAGGGTAAAACAGCGCATGGGAGTCGATTGTTTTACCGTGCTGGTCACCCGATATAATACAGCGCAATGCACTATAGCGTCGGGGTACTATAGACTTCATAGTAAGGTAGTGACCGACGCTGTGCGGGATTCAGGTGTGCCCTCGGCGTAGACGCTCTCAGTTTAGCGGCGGTAGCCCACGCGAATCGCTCGCCTCGCCTTCTTCGACTTGGTGTGGCGATCAAAGCCGCCTTTATTTCGCGACGACAGA